TGTGGTGCCTTCTCTGTAGATTACTGTTTACGTGTGTGTTGTGGGTTGTGTGTGTGTGTAGGTGTGTGACACCCCCCATAAAAGATGTCACAGAAAAGAAGAAAAGGTTCAACAATAAGGGAAAAAAAGAGTACTCTAAATCATCACACACAGAACCCTAATGGGTTTTAGCAGTCCATCAGGAGGGAAGATTTCCCCACGGGATATTATTCGTCAAGTCTTCATACTTTTTTTCTTTCCCCCTTCCTTTTCTCACCGATGAGTTTGATAAAAAGGAATTTTTGGTGCAACTCGCACAGATGAGATGGTGTTTGGTATAAAATCGTTGTACAGGGTCGGCCTCCATGCTTCATCTACATGAGGGTGTAAACACACCATTTTTTTTTTGAATTTTACATCGCATTATATATATATATATATGTATATATTGTAAAATGTTTCACTTTGAGTATGATGACAAGTGTACCTTCTTTCCACGGTGCATCAAAGAATTATATCGCCACGCACATATTGTATGGTCCCAAGCTAAGGAAAGGGAGAAAAGGTCGGCTTTCTGAAAGTGGGTTTGATTTCAAGGATCAATCAATGTATCATGTGCCTCAGGGTTGGTTGCTTTTTCTTCCTCGTTCGTTTCAATCGTGTCGGTCGTGTCGTATAGGGGGATAGTCGTCCCCTGTTTTACGGAGCCATCGTCGGAGTGACCGCGTTTGGTGTCCGACTTTTCAAAGTCTCCCTCCACGACCGACGCCGGCACGAAGATCTTTTCAGTAAAGGGCACTATTTTCTTCCGCATTTCACTACAAAAGCCATACCACTCGACGAGTTGATCCTCAACCCGGAGCATAGACAACAGCTCGACCGGAACGTACATAATCAAGTCGTTAAGATCAGCCTCGGATGTCTTGGGCAAGGTCGGATCCGGCTCCGATTCCTGCCCTGGCTTCAGACCCGACTCTGTCGGTTTCTTTTTCCCCGCTTTTTCGTTCGACTTTCGGGGATTTTTCGTCCTCCGACGGGGCGGCGATTCGTTTCGCGTAGAAGTCGGATCGGAGGTTTTTTTGGCGCCGTTTCCGTTTGCGGTAGCCCCTCTTCCATTCCCTGAGGCGTCGTCGTTGTTTTCGCGGGGTTTTAGCGAGTCCCGCGCGGTGAGGGCGCGCGGTTTAAACGGAAAGTGCACGGGCCGACTAAGCCGCGGCAGGCAGTTCAGCACCTCCTCAATTAACACGGCGAGGACGGCGTAGTGATTCCCGCCTTGTTTGCGATCCTCCATGCGGCGTTCCTTCACCATATCCATATAATTTCGCGAAAAAGGCATCGGTCGTGGTTTGGGAGAGGAAGAGCCGGATTCGTCGCCGTCGTGGTGGGGTTGGGGCGCCTCGACATCCGCGCGGTGGCCCCCGCGGAAGACCGCGTGGGTGGGCAAGGTCGCGATTCGATGCGAATTCATCTGGGTGAGGGTTGTATTTAATTCCCCCTCAAAGACCTCATCGGAGTCCTCGCGTAAACGGGACACCAGGCGAAGAATCGCGCTGACGGGGATGAGGTAGAGGCCAAACACGACATCGCTCTCATCGACGCATGGCCCGAGCAATTCCTCGACCATCTGAAAGGCGTTGGCGTAGCGCTGGAGTACGAGGCTGCGAAAGAAGCGCATGAGAATCGACGCCCCGTTTAATGGCGCCTTTTTCTTCCGCGGCGAGCTCGCGCTGGTTTTTTGGATGGAAGGGAGTCCGATGCTGTCCTTCATCCGGGGGCTTTGAGGGTGCCGCTCGGAGGTGGGGGAGTTGGTGGGGTGGAGGTTGCAGTTCGTTTCGTCCGCGAGCACCGCCGCGAGCGCGACGCGGCCGCCGACGAGGGGGCATTCGTTCTCCTTAAACGTCTGGACCACCATCAGGACGCCCGAGCGGGCGATCTGGGCGTGGAGATCGTTCGACATCTTCACCACCGCCCCGACGAGGCGCCAATAGGAGAGCAGGCCACTTCCGTCCGTATCGAGCCCCCGGAAGGCGTCCCGGACGACCCCGAGGACCTTCTCCGACACCCCATAAACCTCCACCGGCAGCACCCCATCCACGACGTCGAGGAAGAGCTGGCAGAGCGGCTGCGTTCGCCGGTGGCGGCGGACGGCCCACCACAAATTATACGCGAATTGCGTGAATTCGGCGGTGAGGGGCTCCTCTTTGCCCGCGCCGGTGGTGATGTGGAGGGTGCCGGGGAGGAGGAGGGCGTGGGGGAAGGCGGTGGGGGGCCGCACCGGCCCCTCCTCCCCCCCCGCCCCCGCCTGCAGCGTCGCGCGGATGAAGTGCGAGACGACGTAGCCAAACGGGACGGCTAGCGGACTGCCCCGCATCTCCGCCGCGGTGGCGTCGAGCCGCACCGACGGGGCCTCGCGGCGCTCGAACTGCTGAAGGACGCGTGGCGCGAGCATCCGGGCATCGCGAACCCCCCGCGCGCCCTCGCGGAGCCCCTCAAAGTTCTCGAAGAACTCCCGCAAGAGGTACCCGACGTCGGCGGCCCGCCAGCGCAGGTTCGCCGTGGTCGGGGTGATCGCGGTGCGAAGGAAGTGCGGGAGCGTCCGCCAGTGATCCGGCGGGTAGGTCGTCAACAAT